CACTCCAGACCAAATTCACCCCCAATTTGTGGCTGGTTGGATGGAAAGGCACTCAGATCAGTCGTTGGGCATTTCCAAAACTTGAGTCCTTCAGAGCCCACCAGCCTGGCACTTCCAGTCACTTATCACTGAAAGCCCATAGGACAGCTCATACTGCTTTCTGCAAGACTGGCATTCCTAATCTCCCTGGACTTCTTTTCTTCACGAATAATGAGGATTATGGTTTAATTGCCCCCTCACAAGGGGCTGCTGCAGGAATCAAGAGGGTTAAGGCACTCAGATGGCATTGCAGCAAGGTTATTGCAAACCCTTCAACAGAGGTGGACAGAAAAGCCCCACTGCTGTTTGCAGACTGCTTACAACTTGCATCAGCTTCCATTAACTGGGAGGCAATTTTCTCACCAGTTCAGATTTAATTTCTTCTCCAACTGCTGGCCCTATCCAGAGAACAGCAGGTCAGGAGTGACTGTCAGCACTGAACTGCCTTTTAAAAGGATGGTGCTTTCAGATCTGAAGGGATGTCTGCTGTCTGTACAGTATATATGTGTGCGTATGTATGTGTGTTCATGTAAGCATGTAGGAGGCTGTATCAGGGGAGCTCAGAAGTGAAGCCAAGCAGAGAATCAGCTCTGGGAGCCCTTTGCACTTCTGATCCCTCATTGTTGACTGCGCTGCAGACACATAATGTCTGTTTACAGATGAAAAAGCAAAAATAAAACTGATGCTGGCTTTAAAATTCTGTTCAGCATAGACTTCTGCACTGATTCAAATGTTTATAAACACAGAAGTTAATGTAATCAGCACTACAGCAAATACACACCAGGTATACAGCAGAGACAGGAGTGAAATGCGCTCCCAGCTCAGAATGACAGGCCCCTGCTTCCAGCTCTTCATCAAACAAAAGCAGCTGAAAAAACCCACTGAGGAATGTTTTAAAGAGCAGTTCCACCCTGCCTTCTTCACTCCTTCCAACCCCCTCTGGTAATCGTAATTGTAAAAAAATAATATAAGATGCCTATTCCCACTGAGCCTTTCAAGTCGCAGGGCCTTGCCAGGTTGTGTGTGTGCAGGGAGCCACTGGAAAGTGGCCACTGCTCAGGAAGGGGAGTGGAGACACAGACCTAGACATCACTGGAGGAACTGGAGTTCACCAGTGGGGGGGAATTGCTGGGTCACGTTTCTGTTTCTTCCTCCTGGAGGATGGAAACCCAGTGGTCCCCTGAGGGCTATCCATCAGCCGAGCCCCATTGTTCCTGAGCTTGTGCTGCACTCATCCCAGAGCAGATAGGACTTGCATTTACAAAGGTTTGGATAAGCCATTTTGCCCTGGCTCCAGCCCAGCAACTGTTCAGCCCCAGGGAAGGGCGTGTAGCAGCTTGCCAGGGAAGACCCCATCCAAAGGAGTAGTGTCACTGCAGAACCCTTACCAAACCCATCCCCTGTCCTCCTGCACATTGCCAAAAGACAATGCTCAACCACCACGTTAGCCAGTGGGAAGGATTCTGGGACGTGTACGTGAAACATCCTGTTACAGCAGGTTGCTGCAGAGACGTTACCTCACATGTCAGCATCAGCAGAAAACTCTTGTGCTGGCTGAACAGCCAAAATGCTGGGCGGACAAAACAGTGCTTGACTACAAGCAAGCCTTTTATTTATTTATTTATTTATTTATTTATTTATTTATTTATTTATTTTTCAGCCAAATGTTGTTTCATGCTTTAATTGCAATTTTCAAGAACTATATTAGCGTGACAACTTATGTAAGTGTCGGCCAAGTTACTACACCGTTTCTAGTATCTGTGCCTAAAACAGATTTCACAGGGGTGTAGAGGAAGGGGCTTGTATAACTTTTGGATCTCTGTTCTGATGGCTAGTTGCCATCTAAAATGAGACTTTTATCATCCCTAAAAATCAAGAGGTGGTAAATATCACTTCTGTACAGTATTAAGGATGATTTTACTTAGGGAAGAGGGGATTCCTCATAGCCCAGTCCTTCGGACTATCTGAAGCACCAGGTGGGTTGTTTGTTTCTCTCTTTCTTTCTAGTGGAATATGTTTATAGATTTATGAAAGGGATTTCTGATCCTCAGAGTGGTTCATGTGTTCCTGTACTAGGGGTGGAAAGGACAGGCAACCTTCAAAACTCCTGCACTACTATTGCACGTACCATGGTATATAAAATAGTTAGGGCTTCTCCTCCACGTCTCTGGCTGGGATGCACTTTAGAAACCTACTGCTGCGAGGGTTAGAAACAAGTAAAGAAACAACTGGCTAAACCAGCTGATATAGCAAAGCAGAAGGCAGCTCCATCAGCCCCTCAGAGGACATGCACACAGAGACCTCCCCAAATCAAAAAAATAAGTATGATGCAATTAAATATGTTACATATTATGATCTTCCTCCCTTAGAAATAACAAAAACTGCCAAACCAATGTATTCTACTCCTGCCTTTCCTGCTCATGCAGAAATCCCCTTGGGCTTCACGGAAATTTTGGACTCACAAAAAACTGCAGAACAGGGGCCCCATGGCACTGTGTAATAAATCGTAGAAGCTAACAGCCAGAACTGTGCCAAATGTGATGGGGTTTTGCTTTGTGCATGATCATGAAAATAATACATTCTGGCTCAATAAGTTAGGCCTGATGTACCAGGGCTAATGGTCTACTGCTGCTGCTGTTAATGGATTTACATTTTGGTCTCAAATGTTTGAGGTCTGTGATTTGGGAGGCCAAGGCCAAAGGCTCCCCGTGTTCTTGAAGGAAAATCTTAATCATACCCCAGACGTAGACCTGAAATGTCACCTTGCTTAGATCAAGCTCTGATCAATCCCAAGTTTTTCTTTCTGCAATTGATTTCAGATTTGAGTTTGCAACAAACCGGGGGGAGGAATTTTGTGTGTTTACCATGTCTGTTCTGTGTCACCCGCAAGCCCCCAGGAACAGCAGTCTCCTTCCTAGCCCTCATAGTGAACTACCTGGGCAATTTCAGTGGTTGCCAAACCATTGCTGCTCCTCATGGCCAAGCAGTGAACCAAAGGGTTGACAAGGGTGAGAACAGACCTACCTGGTGTACTGCACAATCCCAGTTTTGGCTACTCTCTTTCCTTTCACAGAGGAAAGCTTCTAGCTGCTGGGCCTGTGAAGGAAAGCCTGAACGTGTGAAGTGAGGGTAACAACCCAATATGTCTTTGCCTGGGTTTGCAGAAAGCTTAAAACAATAGTGCTGAGGTCTGCCTGCCCCACGCATCTCAGCAGAGACTAGCTCAGGTGCCAGTGGCAATACATTAAAAGTGAGGCAGGAAGGTATAGCACTGGGAAAAATACAAGTTGGAACATTGTGTAATGTGAGGGACTCGATCACAATTTAGAGATACCTGCCCAGGGGAGTCATGTCTCATCAGAGGTATCTCTTTAATGGAGTCGGGAAAAGAAATAATGAGATTTTATGGATTAAAGGTAAAACTAGCCAGATAAATGCTCCAAGGACAGGAAAACCAACCACTGAAGCAGCTGTTGCAAGGATGCTGGGAGCTCTCCATAGCTTACCTGTCCACAAGGTCAGGGGGTTGCCCCCCTAAGGTCTGGCCTGCAGCTTTAAAGAAGAGGCAGGAGGCAGAAATCATTGGGGCAAGTTCAGCAGCCTCTGCTCCATAAGCAGGATGTCCAGAGGAATCCCAGTGGTCTTAAAGTCTGTGAATCTATTAACTAAACCTCATTACTACGTAATAACTTTTGTTACTTTGGAATAAACCTTGTATCTGGCTAATCCGCTTTGTTACAGAGCTGCCCATCCTTCCCTCCAACAGGAATTAACTTCTAAAGGAATTAAAAGGAGGAGGAAACTGCTGAAGGGGTCCTTGGAGGTATCTTTTTATAGCTTCTGGCTGCCCCCCCCCCCCCCCCCGCCTTCTCTTTTCCACTATGTGTGGTATCCTTCCCCACTGCTTCTGTCCTTTTCTGCTTGCCAGACATTGATTTCTTCCTGTGTTGTCCTAATGGAGCTTGAAATCAACATGACTTTGTTGGTGGTTGTTGTCATTGTTGTTCACATCTTTGTTTGGGGTTCAGCATCCTTGTGGAGGCCAGGGCAGCTCAGGAGCTGGCATTAGCAGGCTAAAATACCTCCATAGCGAAAGATCCACAAGGGCTGTGTCTGTGTCCATATAACAAGGAGTGCTACACAGCACAGCAAACCGGTGCATCCGTCCTCCCGTGCATCAGCCCCTGTGGTGATTCTGAGTCCCCTCGTTGACCAGCACACAGGTTGTGTCCTGAACAAGCTCCTTCTTTCAGTAGGCCCCACGAGGACGCTGTGTATTACTCAGGATCTACATCCAAAGCATTTCGGAGTGTAAATCTAGATTCCCGATGATAGCCGTGTCTATTTCACACACGGTTTATGTAAGGTATGTTTATGCGGCCAGATAGGTAGGCTGCTGTCACCGCCCGGGCGTTCCACCACCCGTACGGGAATTCAGAAAACACAAAACCTGGGTGCGGAGGCACTTTAGGAAGCCTACAGAGAGGCGCCCCGCGTGCCGAGATTATCCCCTGCCAGTGAGCCGGACACCCGCCGAACAAAGGACAGCTGCCAACAGCAGCCAGCCGGCGGGGCGAAGAGGCGAGGGGCCCGCCCTGGCCACCCCCCCCAGCCCCCGCAAGCCGCGGCGGGCAGCCCCCCGGAGCCCGGCGCACCCCCGGGGCGCGGCGATCCCCCCCCCGCTGCCCCCCCCCCCCCCCCGCTCTCCCCCCGGCGGCGGGGGCGGCTGCCGGAGCGCGGCCGGCGGGGCTGCGGGGCAGGCAAAGGGTTAACGCTGCGCCCTCCTTCCGCTCGGCACTGACATCACGCAGGAGAGGGCGAGCGCCGCCGCCGCCGCCCCGCCCGGGAGTGCTGCGTGTGCGTGTGCGTGTGAGCGGGCGGCCGTGCCTTGCAGCCCGGGCAGCCCGCGCCCCCCGGCCGGCCCGGCCCCGCGCCCCCCGCCCGGCCATGGAGCGCCGCAGCCGGCCCGCCGCCCCCGCCGCCCCCGCCGCCGCCTGAGCGCCGCCGGGCTCCCGGCGCCCCGGGAAGCGGAGGGCAGGCAGCGGGCGGGGGCTGCCGAGCCCCGCCGCCGGAGCCACGGGAGCGGCGGCAGCAGCCCGCGGAGGGCTCTCCCTCGCTTTTCTTTATTTGTTTTTCCTCCCCCACCGCGCTTCTTTTTTTTTTCTTTTTTTTTTTTTTCCCCTTTTTTTTCTTTTTTTTTTTTTTTTTTTTTTTTTTATTACATTTTTCCCCTCCCCTTCGCACTCGCCCAGCTCTGCGGACGTGCTCGCTCCCGGAGGAAGGCACCCGGCCGGAGCGCTCCGCGCCCGCGGAGAGGGGCCCCGCGCCCCGCCGAGCCCCAGGGCCCCTGCGGATGCGCGAAGCTCTCCTCCGGCCGCCCGTCCTCCCGCTGGCTTGCCTGCTGGGCGCACCACCTCTTTGTCCTCCCGCGCCCACGTTTTTTATAATTTTTTGCTTGTTTGTTTGTTTTTAAGCAGACCTGAACATCACCGGGGGCGGGGAGGGTGGGGGGCCCAGCGACGCTGCCAGACCGACCCCTGCCCATTTCTCCTAAGGAACTCTCATGGCTTCGCAGCTGCAGACAAGTTGCCGTGCATCTTGGTGGACTATCGGAGTTTGCATCCTGGCGGCCGCGCTCCTACCAGGTGAGCCGCTGCCGGCCGGTCCCCCCGGGAGGCGGTGGGGCTCTGCGGGTGTCGGGGCAGCCCCGGAGGAGGGCTGCGGTGGGGCGATGGTGGGACAAAGGGTGCGGGAAGTGCTGCGGAGCGGCGGGGAAGGATGGGATCGGCTTTTTGGGGTGCGCGCTCGGGTCTGGAGCAGGTGTGGGAGCATCTGCGTGAGGGTGGGAGAGAGTCGGGGCCGGTTGCATCTCTCATTTGGAGAGGAACAACACGATCGTTTGTTTTGGAAGCAGCTGCAGGCAGCGGGCTGCGGAGTGCTGGGAGCTGAGGCCGTTTGTTTGCTTTTTGGATCGAGCAACGTCTAGCGAGCCATAGCAGCCAGGCTTCCGGGGGAAGGGAGCCACAAGGCTGGGTAATGAGCACAGATGTTTCGGAAGGAGACATGGAAGGTTTCGGCTGTCCAGCATCCCTGAAATCCCTACTCCCCTCAGCACACACGCTTCCCATGGGCTCTTTTGTGGAGGGTCTGGACTGCTCCCAGGTTTCAGACCTTCCTTTCGCTGCTTTTGCACTTGGGTGCCTGATGCATCCATTTGGTTCTGATCCATCCCTGGAAAGGAGGAGATGGGCAGAGATTTGGATCGACTTCTCCCAAGCTAATTCGACATACCGTGGTGGTTGCAGAACAGCCGGTGTGTTCCCGCCCCAGGGCTTGGTCCTGCCCTGGGCTCTAGCACAGCTCTTGGAAGCCGGAGAGTGACCCACTTTGCCAAGTGCCCTGAGGGGGACTCTTACTGTGCTCCAGTGCAGAATGGGTTAATGCCATCCTGGAAGGCTTTCTGGAGTCGGCTGTTGGAGACATGGAATGGGACCAGCAGTCGGGGTTTACAGCGCTTGTGAATGAACTGGGAAATGCAAATAGAACCGATGTTTGCCTTTTTGAGGCCATGCTCCTGGTGACTGGGTCTGGTGTGTGTGGCATCGGGCGCATGTGCCAGCCCCGGGTTGGTATCCAGCCTTCTGCAGGGGTAAGAGGCAGCCTTTGCCTGTAGAAGGATGGGGGTCTGCAGCTGGAGAGGAGAAGTTGGAATTGCCTCCGCTCCTTCTCTCATTGGGCTGGGGCAGCATCCTAGAAGAGCAGCCAAACTGCCTGGGCTGTGACTGAGATGTGGCTGCACTTAGCAAGGTCCCGGCCAAAAGACCAGCCATCTGAGCAAGTGCCAGGTCCCAGGGTTCCCCAGTGCTAGCAAAGACGGAGATGATAACAACCAGGGCATGGGAGATTAACAGAGCTCAGTGACTGGATGAGGACAGAAATGAAATGTGAGGGAGTGGTGGTCAAGAAACCAGGGAGACTGTGAGAGGGAAAAGGTTAACAGAGTGATGAAAAATCCAGTCTGGGTATACCTCTGTATTGCCAGGACAAAGGGATCTGCTGTGCATTGCAAAAAGAGGTGATGGAAGGGGCAGCCTTAGGCTCCCTGTACCCCTCTGTGCTTCCAGGCAGGTGCCTGGCTGAGCTCTGGCTTCTCACAGGGAGGCTCAGACCTTCCCATGCCATTCTTCACCTGGTCTTCCCTTCTTCTCATGCCTTCAACAGCCAGCCCCATGTAGAAAACCCTCCCCACTACCCCTGGGAAAGGCACTGAAGGTGGAGTAATGCTGTGGTGGCTGTGCTGGGTAAACCAAAAGGGGTTTATGCTCCCACAGTCCCTCTAGGAATTGCTTTCACCAAGGAGACACACAGACAGTGACCCTGGGGCAGCCTGGCATCTCACCTTGCCCTGTCAAGAGAGACTTTTTTTTCCTACTTATTCTATTTTTGGCTGTTCTCGAGGCTTTGCTGCCAGCAGTCAGGCAATCTCATCTCCTGCCACTCTGCAGTAGCCTGGTAGTTTGTCTTGCACTGTCCCGCTGACAGCTCTGCCAGGATAAGCCAGTGGTGCATCTAGTGGTACCTTGCCAAGCAAAGGATATGGCCAGCTCTGCAATGCTCGGGGAAGATAATCCTTCCCAACCCCTGTCCATGATCACCGAGTATTCTGAAGCCTGTGTGGGCAAGTCTCTCGGATGGACCAGTTTAGTGGTGGATGCATCACATTTGCAGGAATGACTGATCCTATATTACATATTTATTCATGATTCGTTTCATTCATTTGTGCGCTTATTTGTGCTGTGGATGCATCCCAGAGCTGCAGGGAAGGACCAGCACAATACTGTGCTAGGTGCTGCACAAGCCACAGCAGACTGACAGTCCTTCCTAAACCATAGGTCTGAATGCCATGCTGAGGCAGGTAGTTCCTCAAGTTCACAGTGCATTGTGCCGAAATCAGCTGAGGGTATATATAAAACAGCCATATATTGTCTGCTTTGAATGCAGACAGGCTTGCTTACCAAGGAGGAGGGAAAAGAAAAAGTTGTGATACTCTATTATAAGTGAATTAGTAGCTGTGGACTTTGTTGTAAAATGTGGTTTGGGACCAAGCACCCAAGAAGGATGGGATTCAGGCAGGAGACAATGCATGCTTCCTGGGAAACCCTTCGTGCTCATCTGATCAATGCCATTTAATTTTTTTCCCATCCACGTATACTACCTCCCCCTTATGACAATGTTAGCTTTTTTTTCTGATACAGAAATAAAAGTTCCCTGCTGTAAAAGCTGTAAGGAGTCCCTTATAAAAATCTGCTTTTCAAATTGGCTTTAATGTGATCAGCTCAATCATCCAGAACGGATTCAATTCAGGGTTCCTGCAGCCTTCCATTCCATGCAAATCTGCCTGCCTGTCCATTTGGAACCGTTAACCAGGTATCAACTCCGGCTACAACATTAGGGCTTCAGGACAGTGATGTGAGTAGGGCTTGTAGAAAAGCTGTGGGTTACTGGGGAGGAGAGGTCCTAGGCAGCTGATCCTCAGAGGTTCAGAACACTTGTGGTTAAATTTATGCTTTACAAATCTTAACAATTTGTCTGTTTATCCCTGCCATGAAACTTGGTACAGCTTGAGATGCAACCACGCAGAACAGAGGCATTCATCTTGTGCTTGGTCCTGCATCTGCAGAGCTGGGCCTCTATTTCCAAACACTCGCTTCTGTCTGGGTACAAATTCCTGTCTGCTATCACTGGGCTACCTCTTGGGCTCCAAGAGGGGTCTGTGAGTCTTTCTTTGCAAAGTGCTTTAAGATCCTCAGCAGGGGAGAGCTGGAGAGGTGTTTGAAGCTTTTGACATGGGGTTTTTCCATCGTGGTGCTTGAAAGCCGCGTTGACTGAGCTGTAGTGACCTGGAGGCCTTAGGTCAAACTTGGCTGCAGCTGGAGGGAGGGCTCCTTTTTGGGGAGGTACGACAGCTCTCTAGAGCCCTGGGAATAGTCGGTGTCTCACTGCAAGATCTGGTCCATCTTGTACTCTGTAGAGCTGCTTTAATGTCCCAGAGCAGCTTCTGAAAGGCAAGAAGTTGCCAGAGTTTTGTTTAGCCTTTGGTTTGAGTTCTCAGTTACTCTTTTTTCTTTCCCTCGCCTATCTCTTCCCAGAACTTAGAAACAACATCAGGCTATTTCAGGAAGCAAAAGTGTGTCTTTTGCTGATATTTTCTCATTAAACCTCGCTTGTTGCAGTGGAACCGACCCAGCGAGTTTTAACCTGGTGTGAATTGATGAGCTCATGTGCGTGTCAGTGTGGGTGAGGCTGTATTGAGAGCTGGCTCAGCCCAAAAGCAGGAGGGTGGCTGCCCCATGGCCAGAGCCAGGGGACGGCTGCGGTTAATGCTATTTGCTCTCTGAACCGGCAGCGTTAATCAAGCAAGAGCTCCCAGCCTAGTACACATGGATTCATTTGCAAAGAGACGTACAGAAGCAAGGGCATTACCACATCCAGCAACGCATCTAGTGCGAGGTGAATGCTTGCAGTTAACTGGCAGCTGACAAGATGCCGATGCTGGTGGAGCCTGGCACATCTCGCATTGCCCCTCCTCTGGGCTGCAGCTGTACCAGCCACAAAGCCAAGTTTACAGGGAGGCACCAGAAGGATCTTTTGGGCACCACTCACACCTCAGCTGAATCACGAAGGGAACCAGAAGAGCCGGTTGTCGTGACCTGGTTCCCAGGCCCATGTTTCCACTGGCACCCGTTGCCCTCTGCTCATTGCCGCTAAGGCTGGCGACAGCAGGGGCAGCCCATCGTGAGGTGAGAAGAGAGCAGCGAGTGGCCACCACTAGCCAGGGGAAGGCTCTTTGCCACCTCCAGGGACCTTGGGAGTTACACAGCACCACCAGCAGACAGGCATGTGGGGGAGATGGTGGGGCAGCACCAGGGGAAAAAGATTTTTTTGGAAGAGCAGAAGTCAGGCTGCCTGTGGATGCTGCAGGGATGAGCTGGTGCGTCCTCAGATGGACTGCCACAATCCTCAGGGCCTCTGAGAAAAGGTTTGCATCTTGCAACATCATTGCTTGAGGTCATGATGGCTCTTGCTCAGTCCTTTTCACAGGCCAGCAAGGCATGTCAGTGCAAAAAGCAGAAACAATTGAGAGAGGGACAAAGGTACTCCAATCTAAGCAACCCCTAGAGATCTTGCTTTTTCAAATACGTCAGATTAAATCAGGGCAGCTCTGATGCAGGGTGAGTTGGTGCCGCCAGCCACTGGAGCTGGGACCCAGTTTGCATTTGAGACACTTATTGTGTTAATTACCAGAGCACAGCCATCCCAGCACAGAGAATTTAGAGCTCTGCAGTGAGGGTTCCCTAACCCAGATTATTGTTTCAGGTAAAAACGTGTTTAACTAAGGAATGGAACCTCTCATGATAGATCTCTGCTTTCCTCCTGGCTTCTGTTGAGCCTCAGACATTCTCCTGGCCTTACAGTTTTCTTCACTTCTCCCAGTGAAAGTTTAGTCCAGGCTACACTGATGCATGTACCCTCTCAGCTCGATTTTCAAGGGAAGCTTCTCAGCTCCATAGCAGAAGAGAAACTGCTGCCCAAGCTGCTCAAATGCAGAAGTATCATCCATGGGAGGAAGGACAGTTTCCTCTTA